AACATTATTATTTTTACAAATCTCAATTCTAATATAAAATTTATGGGTCAAGTATTGTCGAGAGTTCCTACCAAATGGCTTCCTGTTGCCAAGGAAAATGTAAAGACCTTTTGCCTGAGTTACTTGGAAAAATGCCTCCCAAGGTTAAGTATTACCTTACTACACACGATATCCCAATCTGGACAGGTGACTCAATACAGACCTGTATCCAGCCAGACTAAGACGATTATTGGTTGCCTAAGGTATTTCACCCTGAGCTTTAGAAACGTGGGAGTAGATGAGATAGAGTAGAAGATTCCACGGAAGTTGCAGCTGACAGACAGCAAAAGGGAGCAAGGATTGTTAATTAACAGTCCTTAACAAAGTTTTCTCCTGATTGTAATGATTTCTACATAACACGCAAAGAATGTAAAGAATTAGTAAATTACCTGGAAGAATGGCTCTCATATACTTTGTCAATCTTAAATGTGTTGAAAATAATTCCTTCTCCCTGCTTTATTGCTGAAACTGATTTTAGGCTTCAGTTCAGCCTTTTACTGAATTATAAATTAGCTTCTTAGGGCATAAACGTGAGATAAAGGGCTCAGCGAATGCTCTCCCACAGATGCCCCAATATCTCAGAGTTACGGTGTCATTTCTGTTTTTTACATACTCCTACTATACAGCTGTAGTAAGACTTAAAACAAAAAGGATTTAAAAGTAATCCCACCTTTTCAAATTAACCTTCAAAAAATCCAGATAGGTACTAAAAATTGGGGCTATATTAAAAAAAAAAAAGCCACAATGTGAGAAAGACATTTTTAAGGTACTCAAACCTTTAAAATATAAAAAAACTAAACAAAAATAAATAAAGTTGAGAGCCTGTCAAGGTGGTATCTTATTAAGTTCGAATCACAGGGAATTTACACGGGCACAAGGATCCAAAATGTTGGCGTCAGGCACAGAAACGTTATTTAGCAAGTAAACCGATCCCCAGAAGATGGAGGCGCGGGCGGAGAGGGACTTTTGCTAAAAAACTGTCGTGGAAATTACTTCCCAAAAGCGTTACAGATCAGAGGTAACCGTTAGGCCAAGGGCGTCCACATCAGCACGCCCCCCACTCCGCCCAGAGGCCGCCGAACTCCTCGGGTCGCGTCGCCTCCGCGCCCCCAGGGCCGCGCGTCCCCATCTCCGCACCTTGCAGCCGGCACACGCCGTGGGCGCTCGCTCAGCTTTGAGGCGTCCGGGCCCCCTAACCACAGCCACAATCCTGCCTCCCGAGCCAGTTCCCCGATCTGCAACTCAAGAGAGTCAACACAACCGATCCGTGTGAAGTTGTGGTGGGAATTATGCCACTGCTGACTACCCGAAAGTCGGCCAGGCTGTGGAGACTGAAAGAGCTCGCCTTGGGTTAGCGCGCTCACTTCAGAAGAACCTCCACTCCTAGGACACGTTCAGTGCGGCGAACGGCGCTGGCCGAGGTGGGGCGGTGGCCCAGGCGAGGAGACAGAGCAGGGGAGTCAGTAGTCAAAAACAGGGCTAGGGCCCTCGGAAAACGTGAAATGACCCCCGTTAGTCCTCTCACGTGGACCTCGCAAGATACTCGCCGCGCTCGGCGCACCTAGCGATCCAGCCACCGCCCCACCGTCCCACCAACGTCCTACCCTAAGCTGGCAAAGACCAGATATTAGGACCGCGCGGAAGCCGCCGAGAGAGAGGGGCGGTCGCGTAGCAGTTGGGCGTGGCTTCTCGAAGAGGCAGCCCTTGGGGGCGGGGAGAATACGCAACTGTCAACTCTGGCTTCTGATTGGCTGAGGTGCCTGCGCGGAGTCCGCAAGCGTCTCCGCCCGGCCCGGCCGCTCCTCCTCCTCTCCCAGCCGCTGGGTCCACACCGGCTCGCGAGGGAACCGCTCAGGCGCCGCCGCCCCAGCCCAGTGCGGACGACGGGAGAGAGGGAGGAGGAAGGAGAACACACTCGCTTGCTTGCTCCCACCCGCACTCGGGCTCCTAGAGCCGGCGCGGAGCCCAGGGGGAGGAGCCGCCGCGGGCACGCCCCGCCTCCGGCCCGGGAAGACGACGCCAGCGACCCCGCCGGCCGGCCACCGCCCCCCTCGCCGGCCGAGACCCGCCCCCGGCCCTCCCC